TAGAACATCCCTTGATGCTTTCGCTCTGCCCTACAACATTTTCGCTAAATCTATCTGAATCTAACTGCCTTCACATTTTATTAACCTATGAAGTTATTATATAAAAGGGTATTTATATAAGCTAAATTAGCGAAATCTTGTATTTAAGCAAAAAAAAAAAAGGTAAAACGAAGTAACAAGGTAACAATTTAGCAAAATTATGGAGACAAAGCGTTGTTTTATTGTTTATTGAATAAACTCTTTAAAGAGTTTTAATAAGATCTATGTATATTATAGTTTAACTAACTATTTTTTTTAATATTATTATAGTTGTTTAAATAAATAATAGAGCACCTATACAAGTCTTATACGATATGTGTACTAGAATACTGTTATTAGAAGGGTTATCATTTTCTTTACAAATAGGCGCATGTTGCTTGGGCTGAACTACGGAATCATTAACAGCTGATACCTCTGGTAACATCTCTAATATCGCTTCCTTATCATTCTGTGATTGTCCATTAACTGCTACAGAACTATGTTCCACTATTGCGAGCCTAGCCTCAAGCTCTCCGACTCTAGACTTGAGTTCAGCATTCTCAGCATCACGTCTTGCATTCTCTTCAATAATTTGCTTCAACCTCGCTCTTCTTTCTAAGCTCGGCAATCTCAACTAAGAGTTTAGCATTTAATTCTCTTGATGAATCAATAGTGTGATTATTTTCCATTATTTTTATAAAATACGGGTATATTCAAATTTCAAATTAATAAAAATAACGTGCGCGTTACTTTTCGTAACGCAGATCATTTTTGCCAAGAAAAAAATTTATTATTAATACATGCGAAAAATAAATACAAATGTTCGGGACCTAACCCGTGATACATGATGTCTATACTATTGTCTTCGGACTAATGTCTGGGTAAAAGATTTCACACTCTATCACTTTACCAAAAAAATTCTCGATCATATACAGGTTAATATACATCGATAACAATACAATAAATAAATCCACGAAATACACATGCAAAAGTAAACTGATTATGTATGCGATGAAATCAGCCACTAGGACCAGCTTTTTTTAAACAGAAAAATAAAAACAAAATACATGATATTGCTACATTCTACTGTAAACTGTATGCTATTTTCTTTAATATTCTGCCTTTAAGCAAAGGACTTTATATCACTTACCTTTTGGTTCTTGTCTGAAAACTGTTAGTTAAGTTCTGTAAGTTCACAATTAACCCATTCTATAAATTGAGAACCCTTAATTAGGAATTTATCGACTTGTTATTTCTACTAAAAAAAGTAACTTACTCGTAAAACCATTAGAGAATGAATAAATTCCTCCACCTCTTCAGTTGACTCGTTATTAAAAGGAATCTTCGCCCTTGCAATAGGAAGATAATATCTAACATCCTTTTCCCATACTAGTCCATGTATTACAATATACTCCCCTGCTATATTGACACCAAATGCGATATAACGCTCATGGAGAAGCTGTTTCACGCATTTTTTCTTGATCTCTTTATAACCATCTAAACATAATTGGGCTAACTTATTATGATCATCCTGTTTCTTCTTATCTGTAGAACTCCATCTACCACTTTCAAAATATACAACCTCGTTCCACTTTTGCCTGAGAAATGCCCGAATCATTAAATCAGGTTTATCTCCTCTTGCGCCGTCTGACTGTTTCACTTTTCGATTTTTACTTGCTATACTTTGGCGCTCACCTCTGGTCACCTCAATTTCACATCCAATGGGCAAACGGTACATAGTCGCATCTATAAGACGAGCAATGCTTCCTACAAGCGTATTTTCTAAACCTTTATCAACCCGACGAAGTATATCAGTTTTTATTTCTTGTAGTAAAACATCCGTGATGCCTTTTGCTACCCGTTCTCTATCGTGGTTCTGCTCTACCCATTGGTCGTGCATTACTAATTCTGTAGGTGCTAGTACAAATTTATATAGGCGTTGAGCCTCTTCTCTTTTTATGACAAAATTAGCGCACACATTTTTAATCAATGCATCTTTGTTTAGTCTTATAATGCCGGCCTTTTGTCCCTATTAAATATAATTATTATTATTGTTTTTTATAAATCAAGCTTTCATATATATATATACATACTACAAGAACGTCATAATCGCTTTCAAAGAGTTTATATTTATCTGAGCCGAGATCGATTACGCTAATATACAGAGGATCATCACAGGTTAAGCCTTCAATATCTACTTTACATAATTTTGCAAAAAGACGTTCATGCGTTGAGGTATTTTCATCCTGTAAAAATAGAAACATTGAATATACAAAGTCTATAATCTTTGATCCATTGAAGATTTTAAATACAGTACCTTAATTTTTTCTTTTATAGTGCCTATATTGCTTAAAGCTTTTTTCTTCCAGTCTGTCTGTTCTTTAAATTTATTATGCAAAATATTAGCATCTACTAATGATTTAAGCTCATTCCAAACGAAATGCATCTACAATAATAGAAAGGCTGGGTTAAATTTCCGGAAATAATCATCATCAATCTTCAGATAAACCCAACTAATCAGAAATTGCCATGGCTTATGTGGTACTCATATTGTCTATATTCAACATGATAGTGTAATGAAGAAGATTGTCGCTGACATTTTGTCGCTTATTCTACTTAATTACACTAAATTAAGATTTCGACAAGCTTCATCATCTTTTTATAAAAATAGTAGTGTAGTATTTTTGATTAAAGTTACCTTATTATTGTCTTGTAATAATAACTTGAAATGACGTTTACGTTCATCTTTTAGATTTTCAAGCTCCATTTCTCTCAATAATCTCGCTACATGTTCACAATCTATTCCTCTGTTTGTACATCATAATAGCATAGCGGGCTTTCATTGTAATTGGCTGATTTTTGTAGATCATCCCGTGATATTGCAAAAATATCATTGGTTA